GTGTGGCACCCTTTTTTAAACATTAAATTGCTATATGTAAAAGGACTTTCCAAACAAGTGTCAAAAATATTCTCTAGATATAATGTAAAAATTGCGCATAAACGAAACCTTATTTTTAAATTTTAAACCCAAACTCAAGAAAGCAACTCAACTAAATGTAGTTTATAAAATAGACTGCAAAGATTATAACTACACTTACACATATTAAACTTTGCGAATGTGTAACAGGTGTATTTTAATTTAATCAACTAGTTGTAAGCTACCTACACACTATCACAAAGTATGGGTTTCGTTCATGATCATTTTAAAGTGTTTATGTTCCTAAATGTTTTTTTAAATTTTAAAAAGCTGTGATTGCACCAGAAGATTTCGAAACATATGTAGTGCTGAATTATTAAAAATATCTACCGATCATACTAAAGATATTTTATTTGTTTGTAAAAAATATATTAAATTGGGTGTAGGAAATCCTTCTGCTGACACAAAGTTACAAATTACCTTTTTTATGCCTTAATAATTTTTATTTAATTATTTGTCTATACAATAAATGATCATACAAAATTAAGATACATATTATCTTACCTGCAAATAAACATTTAGTTTTCGAGAGGCTTGAAGGATGTCTCAAAAAAATATACCATCTGCTTTATATTGTATAAAAATATGTTTTCAAGAAGACCAAATACATTCTGATACACAATGTGGAATTTAAGCAACAATTATAAATCCTATCTACAAAAAAACAGGAGAATGATAAAAACCATTATTATTATAGTAAAAGCTGGTACCATTGCACTTTCTTGGACTTCTACATGCATTTAATAAGCTGTTGCCCACAAGTTTACACTTTCGACTGTTGAATATATCATCTTGTTAGTGGAGACAAAATTCGTATAGATTTGATTTATTTCATTTCAAAACACTTGTCTGCAAACATATCGTATCGTACTTCAGAACTTTGCTACATTTTACCTGAAGAAAGAACCCAATTAGGAAATCCATACAACTAATGGTAATCTTGTAGTTTAATTTTAAGAAAAAATATTACAAATTAAACTGTACCTATAAAGAAATATAAAAATAAACTTTATTTTTTTGTACCTGCCAAAATTCTTCATTTTAAATAAGCTTTTCTTTAACTGCATATTTTTCAGTCCCTCCTAAATATGTTTTGTAATAGGTGGGTAATAATAGGTGCTTAATTTCATTTCAACAAATAGAACTGGCATACCTATTTTTCTAATTTTTCCATCAAATTGAAAAACATACTATTTACTTTCTTTTCTGTTATTATAATAGATATATAATTTTCTAATCACAGTTACTTATAAAACAATGAATAAAATATCGAATTAAAACTATGTTAAACTGAAAATGTAAATTATTTTGTATTTTGTTGGGAGACATTTTACTCAATTTACTGAAATTTGGTCGCTGCTTGGGCGATTCTCTTCTCAACATACTGGTCCGAGCTGCGATATGAGACGAAGTAAGGAAAAAATAAAAGTACAACTAAAATACAATAATTATAAATCAAAAACGGAATGAGCACAATTTAGTGTCATCTTTATTCGTTGGTTATCTAAAACTTTGACTTCAATGAATTCATAACAAAGTTTTGAAATGATACAAGACAAATTCAAATTTACCGCTAAAATGATATCTAGTTACTTTTTTAGTTATTTTTCCCTGTGTAAATAGGACTTTTCAATTCGCTCCTCTTAGTTTAAAAACAGAGTATAGGTGTAACTGTTAAATTGATGTTTCATTAACGAACTTCAATATTGGTGAAGCTAAGTTCAAATGAAATCAGATCCACTTGTCTTTTTGTTTTTCCATGCTGATTAGGCTTTGGTAAGATCATTTTGACATTGTTTTCAGGAACTACTGCAATGTCAGGAACTTATAAAATTGGACTTCAAAGTCTTGTTTTTTATCGCAGGTGGCTTTCAAGATTACCGCAACGTAATAAACAATTTTTTTTATTTTTTCTGTTATTTTAAATTGCGCCAATACAAAATTTCCAGCTTCTGGGGGGCACACAAGATCTTCAAATCCATTTAGATTTACTTCAGGGATCCAGTTCTTAGTTTCTGAGCCAAGAGACACTACGTTTTCATTTTCTTCTTCGTCCTCTGAGGATTCGACAAGTTTACGCTTAGCATTTTCGACAGTTGTAACTGTAGGCTTTTTTATTTCTTTCCTTTTCCTCTATCATCAATTGTTTCTGGAGTATCGTTCGCAATCATGCTTTTTCCCTTCCTTCTAGATATTTTACCCTTTCGTGCCGAAGCCTTAGGATAACCTCTGAATTGATCAAGAGAAACAAATCCTACTTCTTTTTCTGTGGTAAGCACTGGATTTTCTGTAGCTTTATTACTTTCATTTACTTCACACTTATTTCCTTGAGAAGTGGAAGCTTCGTTTTCATCTGCAGTGGGTCGATCTGTGACAGCTGAACTCAAAAAATAAAAACATTTTTATCTAGCGGAAAGATTCCACTTCTTTTGAAACCTGATTTTATATTACTTGGCATCATTGAACGATTAAAAGCGGTTCTAACGCACTCTGCAATTTGGTAGATGGTTATGGGTGTTCCTGGATGATGCAAACGCCAACTATCTATCGCGGCATTATAATGAGTTTTAAAGGATGAAAAAACACTTACATCTAGCGGTTGTAGCCTATGACTACAATGGGGCAGGAAAGTTAGAATTGTAATTCCGTTTTCTCGAGCTTTGTCCACAGTAGCTAGTGAAATATGACTTTCATGGTTGTCCATGATTAAGAGCGTCGGTTTTTCTTTACTGGATAACGTAAATTTAATAAAGTAATCCAGAACTTGTGGAAATATTTCGGGACACATCCATCCTGAAGTGGTAGCTAGCCCAAGCGCTTCATGAGGAGCTCCATTAATCATGTGTGTTTTATAATTTTTCCGCGGAAAAATCATGACTGGAGGCACTGCGGTACCGAGGGCGTTAATAATACAGCATGTAGTTACGTTTTATCCTCTTTCCCCGCTTGTACATTTATTTACCTGCTTGATTCCTTTTCCAGCAATTATTTTTCTCGGATTCTGGACTGCGGTCGTTGAGGTTTCGTCTAAATTGTAAACCCTTAAACCATCAGAAAAATGTTCACTATGCGAATAAACAGTTTCCAACTTGTTGAAAAATTACTGTATATTGTGTGGATTGAATGATGTCATTCGTGATAGACTGCAGCCCTCAGGTGAACGAATACTGATACTAAAATGACGCTTTCTTAAGCCTCTGAACCATTCCAAACCTGCCCAGTTTTCAGGAATCTGTATTTTATTTTGTATTGCCATATCGTAAGCTAATTTTCTGCATTCTGTTACCGTCAAACCGAAACCCATTTTTGATATGTTTAAAACATAATAAACCAACTCTTTTTCTTGATTTATATCAAAAACCAGTCTGTAATTGTAGTTAGGAGTAAGTCTATTTTTTCAAGGGGATTTTCTCTTTGTCTTCTGGAATAGCGAAAGAACATGAGCAACTCCTGTCATCTCAGACACCTTTCTTATACTTAAACCTCCATTAACTAGATTTATAGCATTTTGCATTGTATCTGCAGATATAAGACCCATTGCAGTCTTCCATATTCTATTTCTGGCCCTAGAAAAAAAAATAAAATAAGTAAAACCAAAAGAAAAGATAAAAGAAAATATAGGGGACTTAAACATCGTGAAACACGTTTGATTTACTGTGGATCATATACATCCTCAAAAAAACACAAACTTTATAACAAAACAAAAAATATTTTAATTCCTACTTACATTGTCTAAGAACAGAACTTTCTCTTTCCCCAAAAATAACTAAGAAATTATAAAAACTAAACCGGTAATCGTTTCTTAAAATTTGAGCGTGGCGTTACTTTGGGTCCTCTCTCTAAACTGAAATGCTGCCCTAAACAAACCGCGTCCTGTGCGATGATGCATTTTGTAGTGGGAGTTACAATACTGGTCAAACTATTATCTACGTCATGGGGGGGGGGGGGGGCTATACGCAGTGTTGCCAGATTACACGATTAATCGTGTAATTACACAATTTCATTTCTTTTTACACGATTACCCGAATCAAAGGCCAATTCTCACGATTTTTAAATTCTGCTAAAGAAATCGTCACTTTTAATAAAAATCTAAAACTTCAAAACCATTCAACATTCAATTAAATATAATTAAATTACGTCACTATATATCAACTCCGCCCATGCTTCTGTTTATCATATTCATGGTCATGCAGATATTTTCACGCGATCAAGTTGTCGACACTGCTGATTAATTTTGGAAATCACAGAGAGCCAATTTATTCTCGTGTACGTATGTTCTGGGTACTTCCCATAATTTTTATATTACTTTAGTCGCACTTTTAGCAGAAGCAAATCGCGTTTGTAATTGTTTTAGTCGAGGACGGCGATGTTTTAGTATTTTATTCCGACTGAAATTAAATCGCTGTGCTATTTTCTTAATTATTTCGCACATTTTTGTATTTGCCCAGTAAATATAATGTCTAATACCTCTTGATAGTGATAGTGATGTGCAGAAAACAAAGGACGTTTGCACACCTACGAAAAAAATGAAAAGTGCGGAATATAAACAGAAATGTAAAAGAGAGTGGGAGAATGAGTGGAAGTGGGTCCAGCCAAGTAAGAAGGGTCCAGTTTATGCCTGGTAAGATAGATTTTTACCTTATTTTGTAAGTTTAAAATAATGTATCTATTATTAAAGGTGTAAATACTGCAGCTGCGATATACTGATTGTGAGAGGAAAGGGAGAATTAAAAAAACATAGCACTACCGGGAAGCACTTGAAATCAGTATCATCTGCTAAATCGCAACCATCTGTATCGTCAATATTTGGAAAATAAACAAAAAATCTCGAAGAAAAGGGAAGGGAAGGCGTTCTGCGACTTGCTAAATTTATAGCAGAACACAACTTGCCTATACGATTAATGGAACTTAGTCGTACAAAAATGACTAACGTAATAAAAACTGTCACCGACGATGAAGGTAAACTGCAACTGATAAACATACTGCGAACAAATAAATGTAGTTTAATAGCAGATGAATCCACAGATAGGTCCTGTTCGAAGCATTTGTGCCCAGTTGCCCGAGTTGTGGTTAATTTTAATGTAAAGGACTACTTTCTAGCCCTTTTGCCTCACAAAATCCTCCATCCATCACAAACAAGATGGCTTTCCCTAGAATCGGGTGTGATTTCACAATATAACGCGTTAAACCTTTATTTCACAGAGCAAGCCTTTGAAAGAGTGCTGCAAGCAGACATTATTTTAGAGAAACTTAGAAAGCCGGAAACAAAATTATATCTTGATTTCTTGGCATATATACTACCTTTATTCAATCAGCTAAATCTTTTAATGCAGAGTGAAAAACCACAGTTACATAGAATATATGAAGAGGTCACATGTGTTTTGAAAACCCTCATGGATTATTTTATTAAAGCAGATATTTTAGAGAAGAACATGATATATAAAATTGATTACAAAAATCCAAGAAATTTCTTACCTATTAACGATATGTACTTTGGAGCATCAATTGCTGTAAGTAAAATTGACAAAAATATTTTACATTCGATTAAAGTAAAATGCTTAGATTTTTATTTGGAAAGTACAAAGCAAATATTACTTAGATTTTCTTTAAAAAACTCCGCTATAGCAAAATTGTTTTTGGATCCTGTTTTTGTAAAATCCAAAGAAAAACACACAATTTCTGACGTAGCATCGCTTTTTTCAAATTTAGTTCATCCTGAAGAACTTCAGGATCTTGATAATGAATGGAGATTGCTAAAAAATTATCCACTAGATGATATTGAAAATGATGTTGTACCATTTTGGAAGGAAATTGCCAATTCGCTAAAATTTCCAAATTTAAATAAGTTCGTTTTTCAAGTTCTTTGTTTGCCTCATTCTATCGCGGCTGTAGAGAGGATATTCTCCAAAATCAATCTAATTAAAACACAGTTTCGCAATAAATTAAAAACAGAAACAATAGAAGGTGTTTTGTACCCAAAAAGTTTTATGGAAAACAAGACATGTTACGAATTTACTTTAAATAAAAATGTTACGAAAAAACGCGCTTATAGTAGGCTATTATATTAAGGTAAAACAGAAAATAAAGACTCCAGCGATTCCGAGTCATCTTCATAAGATAGTTTTAAAATATAGGTACCTAGTTATGTTCGTATGTCGCTCTGTATATATTTTATTTGTTGTTTTAAAAATAACACAGTTGTACTCTCCGTTGTATTAGCATTTATAAAAGTAAAAAAGTTATGTATTATGTTGCACATCAATTTGTTATCGCAATAGAGTTTTATGTATTTTTAATAATGAAGATACTTTCACGACTTTACACGATTTTTGGCATCCGAGTTACACGATTCTCTCCGCACTTCATCTGGCAACACTGGCTATACGTCCATCTTTTTTTTTTTAGTCGGAATGTTTCACTGTGGACCATGTTTCACTGTGGAACACTCTCTACTACTCCTAAGCACTTAAATTTTGTTAATTTAAAATTAAAACCACCAAACCAAAAACCCTTTCTCACATTTCTCTCTTCATCGATCTTCCTCTTGATCCTACCCCAATTCTCACTTCGTGTCCACTCAGTATTCTTCATTACGATCACCGTTATTGATAAATAATGATTGGCTGCTTTTAAAATAGTCTAGTTTCGCAAACCAAAAGGACGATTTTTATTATTTCCATTCAAGTGAACCTTCTTTGATTATTTAGTCGAAATCTGCCGACTCCTAAAAATAATTTTTATTTTAAAAACTCTTCACCCTTTATGTAACTCATCGGAAGTATAACTAGGTTTGAGCCAAAAATGAATCTTACCTGCATACAAAATTTGAAGTTTTTCTATAAAGCCGTTTTTGACCTGTCGCGCCAACAGACAGACAGATCGACGGAATGGGGAAGCATGTTTTTCGTAATCTAGGAACCCTCAAACGTGAAAATCTGAAAAATCTCGAAAGGTGACTTTTTCACGATTACAATACTTTCCTTTTATAGAGGATGATATTATTAATTTGCTGTAGAAGTATATTAAGTATTTTGTGAACCGTTTATAATTTTATTTTCTGTTGAATACTGTTTTGAATGCATAACAAAAAAGCTCCTAAAATTATAAAAAAGGAAACATCCCCTATTTGAACAGACAAATACAATCATACAAATTCAATAAACTCTCCAGAAGAAAGTTCAATTAAATAGGTACTAAATAATTTTATTTTAAGATATTCATTTTAGTCCGATATTGTTGAGGATATTTTGATAACACTAAACATAACACCGCTCTCCCAGAACGATTATCGGGGTTATGATCGACAAGTAATGTTATTTTTAACAGACACGTTATTTGTGAACAGGTTGTTATTTCTGTGTGTTTATAAAATAACAGACCTGTTAAAAATAATACAGATTGTCAATCATAACCCCCTATCGGGGTTATGATCGACAAGTAATGTTATTTTTAACAGACACGTTATTTGTGAACAGGTTGTAATTTGTGTGTGTTTATAAAATAACAGACCTGTTAAAAATAACACAGGTTGTCAATCATAACCCCCTATATATCAAGCAAGTATGTTATGTTATGTTGAGAATGGGGTGTTAATACACTGCGACCTAAAAGATCTATTGAGCCCCCTTCTATCGCCACTGCACTAAGGAAATGTCTCAATGCCTATAGTGACCCTTCCAATCCTATGTTCTCAAGCTCAAGCAAGTAAAAAACAATAGTGTGCATGAATGGAGTTTTACTATACATTTTTGTACTTTTCTACTTGCTGTTGGCCTGCACCGTAATTTTGGGATCCGGTCTGGAATATAGACGTACAATATTTTTATATTCAGATTCTACATCGTTTGCTATTAAATGTTTGGCTTTGTCAAAAACAAACGAGCGCGCCTTTTGAAATAGCGCCTGAAACAAATAACGTTTATCAAAATAGCGTCAGTCAAAACAGCGCCTGAACGAAACAGCGTCTATTAAAACAGGGCGTTTGGATTTAGGGCCAGATTTAAACAGCGCTCTTTTAACTAATTTACCTTACCTTTGCGGTCAGGAGCCGTCGTGGCTTGCTTCGCAAATTTTGTATCCATAAAATGAACAACAAACAACTAATTAATCTGTGCGGGCCACATTCATTTGCTATCAAGATATATTTTATTTAGCTTGATCCTATCCTAGGTATACATAGGATTGTTCTTTCTTGTATTTATTTCGACGAGTAATATAGAGGTGATGACCAAAGGAGTTAATAAACAGCACCAATTCGCCAGTTGGTTAACTTACTGTTTGCATTGTTTGCATATACTTCAATGAGTTTTTATGTGGAAATGTTTTTGTAAAATAAATACTAATACTTTGAAGTTGCAACCAACTTTCGCGATTAGTTGCTTTCAATATTCAGTAAAGTTAAATTGGTTTTGTGGTATTTAATTTTGAAAACTATTGAAATGAATAATGCTGACCGCCAAAGAAGAAATTTGGGACATGACGAAGTGGTTAGAATCATTACATTACTTGAAGAAGGAAGTAGTCAACGTTACATTGTAAATGCTTCTGATGTTCAACAATCAACAATTTTTACGGTAGCTGCCCGGTTTAGAGAAACAGGGCAATACGACCCCAGTATATATACCAATCAGTATTGGCCACATACTTTGATTACTATACGAGGCAAGAGAGAGGTCCGACACGCCCAACATAGGGCGCGGCCATTTTGAACCCTGTGACATAGTTTACAGCTAAAGAATCAGATCGCTCACTCTGCGTCGGCACTTTGGATCTCAATGTTTTAGTTTATACACTGCGCAACTCGGATAATACAATATATGACAACCGCCTATAATAAAACAGCAGTCTTCTGCGTATCCTGAATTTGTATCCCTGGAGTGGATGTTATTTTTGAACTTTCAACGGATCCGAGTGAGCTAACTGATTCTTTAGCAATAAACTGTGACTCAAAAAATAATATTCACTGACACTGACAGCAGCAAGCAAAATATCAGGTGCGTTTTAATCATCCGCTTCTGCTTTCGGAATTGTCGGTTTAGTCGTTTTAACCTGTCAGATTAAAACAAGAAAATCGACAATTCCGAAGCAGAAGCGGATGATTAAAACGCACACCTATTAAAAATATTGCGCCAAGATGTAGGCAACACGTAATAAGGGTTCAAAATGGCGGAGTTTTCTATCTCCTTTTAAAAGGCACTCAGAAAGCTGCGCAGTGCGACCATTCTCCGTATAGTAAAAGAAAATCAAAGTATGTGGTATTGGCCACCATATAAGTCCATTAAAAATAATATATTTTGATTTAATTGTTGAATTTATACATGAGCAATTTTCCTTGTAGGGTTGTTTACATTTTGCAGAGAAATATTGTATTCTGCTTTTAGCTGATAAATCATGTACATGTAAATGGGTTGAATGTAGACAATGTTAATGTTTTTGCTACTACTGCTGGCTAGGAATGCTGGGCTGGGACACCAACAAAAAAAAAGGAAGAACAAAGCACTAGATGTTTTTATCACTTATACACGTACAATTTACAACCATTCAAGTAACTAGCATGTTGGAAATACTTCACGAAAACATATTAAACATAAATCAGTCGAAGGCAATGTATTTTCTTTTTATAACACACCTTTTTAGCTTGATTACTTTTAGTACTCTATTTATTCCAATATCCTCAAATGAAACGAGCAATAATAAGAATAAAATACACACTGAAGTGTATTTGGGGTATTTTTGATCTAAATCCACTATCAAAATAACAAATTTTTCGTTTTTAAGCTGTGAATGTATTACAAAAACTACTTCGATATAATGTTAACAAAAGTTTATATTTGCGTACGAAATATGGGTTGCCTGCGCATGGTAGCGAGTTTTTAACCGGATTTATGACAAGTGATAGGTTATATCCCGAAAACGTCAGCGCAGTAAAAGCTGCGCGTCTTTTTCCCGCCCAGGGAGTGTCATGGGCCTGATACGACAGAAGGTCTGGCCAAGGTCGTCCAAGGGTTACCAGAGCAGCGGACACCCGATTTTTAACATTAACCGCTCTTCGAACTAGACACTGTACAGCGCGTATGCTCCAAAACGAACTAGCCGTTGCCCGCAACACAAGAATTTCTGTGCAAACAATAAGAAATCATCTTCAAGAAGGAGGAATTAGAGCCAGGATTGCCGACTTGTATCCACGCTTTACCAGGGAGCATCGTGTTGCTCGGTTGGAGTTTGCCAGAATTCATGTGAACGATACTTACAGTGTAACATCAGAGAAACGGAACCTTTTGGTGGTGGCTCTGTTATGATGTGGGGAGGAATTTCTTTTGCAGCTCGTACAGAGTTAGTACCAGTTGTGGGAGGAAATTTAACAACTGCAAGATATGTAACACACATTCTTGAACCCTATGTTGTACGTTACGGTCCATTCATTGGTGACAATTTTGTTTTTATGCAACGCTCGCTCGCCCAAAAACAGCTTTAATTGTTCGTCAGTACTTTAACGAAGTTGGTATTCTCA